ACGTATTGGCCGGATCGTTGGTTTGATTTTCCATATGTTCTTCAAGTTTTGCTGTCTCTATGATATCCATTGTCCCCCAGTCTTCAGATCCAAAAGGAAATGGTAGTGTTCTTAGTAGAAACGTTTTTTAATCCTTCTATTTCCAGGATAAACATGGGCTCTTCATCTGATTCTGTTTCCTGGTGTGAAACGTAGAAAGTAGCCACCAGATGCCTGGTCCTCCCATGCAGCTCTCCACTGTGCATCCGCCGCTGCCAGGGAAGCAGGCCAATTCTCTTTCCCCCAGAGAGTTCACTGCAGCTCCTGTGAAAACAAAACAAAACTACGATCAGATATCGTGCCCCTCCAACTGTCAACCATCCAAAAAAGAGCATGATCAAAATATGGAAACAAATACCAAAGCCATTTGCTTTATAAATGTATCGTCAGAACATAGTTATAGCTGCCGAGACGAGTTTATTTATAAAATACTGAATTGTTTTATCTTGGAATTCTTCTCATTTTGAGCTGATGTCAGTATAAATAGGAACATTTTAATAATCAAGTCCTTTTAAATTTCTTTAAATAGAAGCCAGGACCCAACACTGCAACCACTTCATCAGCCACTGATGCCTGTTGCTAACCATGAAGTCACAATGAGCTAGAACCTCCCCAGATCACATCACTCCTTCCTAAGACTGCATCTTTTCCAGGAACCTTACAGGATAAAAAGTTGTGATGACTGCCCTGCCGACATGGCCCAGTGGTGGAGCGCCAACCCTTGAACCAGGAGGTCGCCAGTTCCATTCTGAGTCAGGGCACATGCCTGGGTTGCATGCAGGAGGCAGCCGATTGATGTTTCTCTCTTATCGATGTTTCTATCTTTCTGTCCCTCTCCCTTCGTCTCTCTCTAAAAAAACCAACCTGGTTGGTGTTGCTCAGTGGTTAAGCATCAACCTATGAACCGGGAGGTCATCGTTTGATTCCCAATTAGGGCACATGCCCAGGTTGTGGGCTCAATCCCCAGTTGGGATATGCAGGAGGCAGCCAATCAATGATTCTCTCATCATTGATGTTTCTATCTCTCTCTCCCTCTCCCTTTCTCTCTGAAATAAATAAAAACACATATGTTTTTAAAAAACTGTGATGATTACATGCTCTGAATACTTGTTACCCTCTGCATTTGTCAGAAACTTTCTATTTCTTATTAAAACTCTGGAATCTTGTCCTGGCCGGGTGGCTCAGTTAGTTGGTTCTCTTTCTGAGAACCAACCCATGCACCAAAAGTTTGTGGGTTCGATTCCCAGTCAGGGCACACACCTAGCAGGTTTGCAGGTTCAATCCCTAGTTGGGGCTCACATGGGAGGCAACTGATCAATCTTTCTTTCTCTCTCTCTCTCTCTCTCTCTCTCTCTCTCTCTCTCTCTCTCTCTCTCTCTCTCTCTCTCTCTCTCTCTCTCTCTCTCTCTCTCTCTCTCTCTCTCTCTCTCTCTCTCTCTCTCTCTCTCTCTCTCTCTCTCTCTCTCTCTCTCTCTCTCTCTCTCTCTCCTCTCTCTCTCTCTCTCCCTCTCTAAAAAATATCAATACACATATCCTCAGATGAGGATTTTAAAAAAATACACAAAAAAACCTGTAATCTTTTTAAGTGACCACACCTCAGAACATTCGAGAACTAAATGACACTGCCTCGGTTTACCCTTTTTATAGTCAGAGATGCACCCCATACACCAGGAAGGCGGACAGCCTCCGAAATAACACAAAGCCTTCGAGACACAAAACCTGAGCTCTATCTCACTGAGGCAACAAACTCCGCCTGTTTCCCGAAGGATGAAATAACTTCCTACAGCCGACGTGGCAAATTAGTAACATTTCGGTGCAGCCACCCCCATTTCTGGCAAAACAACAGAAACAGGCACGGCGAGGACCGGCGCGGGCACTTACCCACCGCGACCCCCGGGAGGAAGGGGTGCCTTCAGCAGAGGCTCCGCAGGCTCCAAAGAGCAAAGGCGCCCTCACAGCCCAGGGCACCGGCACCCGCTCTTTATACCCGCTGGCCACACGGCCCCAGCTGTTCTCAATTTGGGAAGCAGCATTTAGCCAGGCTGCAGATCCCGGCCACCTGAAGAGGCTTCCAGGCCTTCTAATTAGTCCTGGGCTTGGGCACACTGTACAATTTACGCATAATCCTTTGCATTTGAAAGGCCTCTCTTTCAGGGTAACTTCAGGGAAAAATTAAGGGGGAGGAAAAACTCAAAGTGGTGACAGCTAAGCCTTCATTTGCCGAAAGGAAAAAAAAAAGTTGTTAAAATGACACAGTTAATAAGTACAGGCCATGTTTGGTGGGAGTTGTGGATGGTAAACAGAGCAACCACCAGTGTTTACTGTGCACCCAAATGCCCCAGCGATGAGGGGTACGGGGAGGGGGCAATTAAAAGGAGTGAAAAGCAAAAAACCAACCAAATGACACCGACCTGAACATCCACCCGAAGGGCTCACAGTCTGACCGAGGAGGCAGAACTGACGTGAGCAGGCTATGTGGGAAGACTGAATGGCACGTGTACAAGGGAGGAGGTGGGCCCTCGACAAAGCAGCTTTACTTGGTCCCTGCTCCCCTGACGGGATGTGTCCACAGACGGGCACAGGCCATCTGGGAGGAAGCAGACGCAGGAGCAGTGTTAGCCTGGCAGACACAGAGGATGGCTGGAGGACGGACACACATCCCCGCTAAGGGAGAGGGCTAAGCATTTCGGACGTCTCGCTCTCTCGTGTCCCTGTGAAAACCCCAGCTGCTAACACATTAGAGTCGTATGAGAAAGCAGCAGTGTCCCTCTGTAAAACGGGGATCCCTGGTTTCCCTGTTGCAACCTGGCGCAAGGTTGTGGGAAGAGTAAACATAATGAAGAGGTGCCTCAGTCAGGCAGAGTCAAAAACGAACCTTCAACACCACGATGACTATTCCTAATGGAGGTAGCAAAGCACTAACTCAGCCATGACCTGCCTCTCTTTACCAACTCTAGGCTATCCCTCTCATAGCATCTTGCCAAACGCCATCCAGATTTCCTCCCACTTTCCTATTCCACATGCTGCGAGCCTGGCATTTGTTTGTGAAAGAAGCCTGCGATTTTAAAACCCAGGTCCACCAATGGACACACAGATGGTCTTTAGAAGGTGGCTACCCAGTTCTAGAACACAGAGTGTAGAACAGAAGAAAATCCAATTAGTCACCTTTTTTTTTTTTTTTTAAAGAGGAAGTGCTCTGCCACTCACCTCATGGGACAACTGTGAGGATGACTGAAATAATTAACCTTGAAGAGCTCTGTGCTCCTGGGAGTAAGAGCATTAGTGGCTCGATTGCTATTTTCCTTGGGATTTCATTAAGAAGATTCAATATACCAACCACAATCAGCAAGTGTCAGCCAATCCTGGGGCGCACTGTCATCAAGATGACGATTACAACATACTCATTCCTGCGGTGACCCTGCCCCACCGGTAAGTATCTGGGGAAGTGACAAAGGCCACAGTAGTTCCTCTCCATGGATGGCAATCCCATTAGCTCATTTGCTTAGGGAGCTGTACCTGAGCACAAGGCGGATGGAGGGCTTTCACGGCCTCTTACATTGCAAAAGACTAGAAGTTAACCTAGATCATTAAAGAGCTAAAGGTTACTATAGGCTAATCTTCCTTTGGAAGGCAAATGCAAAGCTCTGAAACTTTTAGTACACGATACTGTTTTGTTTTTTGGGTTTTAGGTATGATTTATTCCAGAAATTCAAGGAAGGTTTCAAATGAGAAAGTGATTGTAATAAAATACAAACATATGTAAAAAAGAAAAGATATGATCATCTTGAGTGAAGTCAAAAAGGCATTTGATAAAATTCAACACCCACGTGACTTTTGGGAAAGTTTTCAGTAGTAGAAATAGCAGTACATATAGCTACGCTCCTTCGATGTCCATATCACAGTTTTAGCTCTGTAGTACGTGTTCTAGTCGCTGGTGAAAGGCTTCCACAGCTGCTCCTCTTTTCATCCCTAGGAGAACTTAAGTTTTTTTGTGTGAAATTACAAGCAAGCACATCATTTTGCTTCTATGTTTTATTTCTGTTACCTCTATTATACCATAGAGGGCTGGATATTACCATATAATATACATCAGTAGTCATTTTCTCTTAAGAATCTCAATAGGATTGTTCCTTAACTTGACAAACAGATTCTCAGCTTCAGCAGGCAGCAGATGGGAGAGTCAGTGGAAGGTTCGCACTGGTAGGTATTAGACTGTATTACGTAAGCATATCAGGGTAATGGCTCCGAGTTCGTCTATTTTGTGGGTCATCCAAAGGAAACAAAGATGTACAAAAAATATTTCTACAAGTAATGCTTGAAAATTGGAAATAGCGTAATATCCAAAGACAGGGTATTAGTTATATAAATTACGGTTATCTTATTATAAAATGTATGTTTTGATATAGTACCTATGAAACTGAGACAAGTATATAAATAGTATATAAGAAGGGTACAGTATCGAATTGAGTAGAAACGTAGATCTGAACAGATGTAGAACCTCATTAATTCATTTCAGAGGGTATGGATCAGAAAAAGGGAGTGGGCCATGTGACACATACTCAAGGCTTTAAGAAGAGGCACAAGTGTGAAACTGGAGACACGGCTCCCCGAGCAGTTCTGACCCGAGGCCCTCTGACAGCAAACACAAGTTCGAGTCGCAGGGCTTAGAAATTCTTTGCTGCTAGATTCGTATGTCCGCCTAGTTATACATTTGAGGTGATTAAGAAGATAAATGTATTAAATGTGTAAATAGCGTTTAAAAATTCAGGAAGCCTCTAAGCTTATATATGGGTTTTATTGTGATCTGTTACTTCCATGTAACCTGGTGAAGATGGAAGTTAAACACTGATCAAAGAAAATGTATTTGTATCATTTACAAACTGGAAAATAAAAGAGATATATACCTTGGGCTTAAAGGTTTAAAAAAAAACAACAACTAGGTCTTGAAACAGAATTTATTGAATTGAAAAACAATGAAAGCAACCAGTGATTTTATTAGCAGACACAAAAGCTTTCTTAGGCCTTAAAAAACTCAGTTGTCTGCCATTAAGGCATTAAAAAGTCAAGTTGTAGAGAAAAACAGCCACAAAGTAATAGTTTTCAGTACCTTACTCAGGTGCCATTAGCAAATGTAACTTATGTGTACTTATTGTGCTTTGTGTATTATCTAATTAATCCTCATACCAACCCTAGGAAATATTGTAAAGAAAAGAAATTGAGATAAAGTGAGATGCTCAAGGTCAGACAGGTAGGAAGTGGCAGAG